AAAGGACGAGAAAGGTTAAAAGAAAATGAAGTAACCACAACAGAAGACGAAAGAGAAAAAGACGAAGAGGAAGATGATGAGCAAGCAAGTGAGATAGACCTGAGGATGACTCGCACCAAATTTTCTATGACCTTTAGAGATGTTGAAGATTCCATCAGGCATTTTGACAGAGACGAAAAATACCCGATTGTCCGAACGTTGGATAATGGACATCGAAGAGTCTGTTGAATTATTCGGTTGGACAGACATTCAGAAGCTTATATTCGCAAAAAAGTCGTTGAAAAGTTTGGCAAAATTATTTATGCAAGGAGAAAGAGGCATAACCTCTTGGAAGAAATTAACAAAATAAGTAAAAGTAAAAAGGGCTACGAGCCTAAAACATGAATTGACAAACTGTATGAGTAGTTAAAAAAGTTATCTCCAATCTCTAGTATGTTTCATTGTAAATTGGCCTTTTCTATTCCCAACACGTTAAAAAGCTTCATAAAGAGAGGAAAGGACGAACTTAGCCTCCTATCCAGTCAGAATGTTGTCTACAAGATCTCATGTGATGATTGTGAGGCGAGTTATGTTGGTCAGACAAAGAGAAAATTGAGCACGAGACTACACGAACATATCTCTGACATCAAAAAGAATACAGGTTCTCCTACTGTCATAACTGATCATCGAATCAATTTTGATCATTATTTCAAATGGAATGATGTGAGAATTTTGGACTGCGAATCTTCTTACAATAAGAGATTGGTATCTGAAATGATTCATATTAAAAGACAGAAACAAGGCCTTAATAGACAGAACGATACCGAATCTTTACCCGATACTTATTCACAGATCATCCAGTCTCTTTCTCCCTCTTGATTGCTTTCCCTTCCTCATCCTTCTCTTCTCTCCCTACTTTCTCTCCCTTCCACTTTATTCTTTCCTTCTTATTATTTTTTTCCCCCTTCCCTTTCTAGTTTTTCATTTCAAGCTTCTTGTCTTTATATGTCGTACTTTATATCTTAGCTTCTCAGAGAGACGATCAATTTCGATTCCATTCGCATTGCCTAATCTATAATACATCATTTCGACACACACATAAGGTATTTATTGTGAATTTATTTGTTCTAAACTTATCATACATATGCAATGCATGTTGGCGATCACTCTTTTTTCTTATGTGCTTGCCTTATAATATCAAAGATAATTTTTGCCTCTTTCTTTAAATTTAACTTATTATTTACGACTTATTTGTACTTTCCTTTTTACTGTTTGCCACTCGATTCGTACTTTTCTTATTGTTCTTATTATTTTTATTTTTATTTTTATTTACTTCTACCGTTAATTTATTATTACAATTTATACTTGCTAACAGAAACATGTTCGTCCTTATACACACATACGGTTCGGAGGAGCACATTTTTGTCAACTATAATCATTTATTTGATTTCCTCTTAATTTGGAGCGAGTTTTACAGTTAATTTGCGTCCGAATGCGAATTTTACTTGATCTTTTATTACCGTTGTTAATTTATTTTGTCACACTAATTTATTTGTCACATTGAAAATGATCCAACCAGGATCGAAACGTTTGTTCAACTTCTGATTGTCAAATTATATTTTACGTTTTTAATTTATGACATAGTTTTATTTCAAAAAAACTTTTTTAACTACTCATACAGTTTGTCAATTTATGTTTTAGGCTCGTAGCCCTTTTTACTTTTACTTATTTCTTTAATTTCTTCCAAGAGGTTATGCCTCTTTCTCCTTGCATAAATAATTTTGCCAAACTTTTCAACGACTTTTTTGCGAATATAAGCTTCTGAATGTCTGTCCAACCGAATAATTCAACAGACTCTTCGATGTCCATTATCCAACGTTCGGACAATCGGGTATTTTTCGTCTCTGTCAAAATGCCTGATGGAATCTTCAACATCTCTAAAGGTCATAGAAAATTTGGTGCGAGTCATCCTCAGGTCTATCTCACTTGCTTGCTCATCATCTTCCTCTTCGTCTTTTTCTCTTTCGTCTTCTGTTGTGGTTACTTCATTTTCTTTTAACCTTTCTCGTCGTCTTATATCTTCATTTTCAGTACGTCTTCTTCGTCGTCTTACGTCTTCCTTTTCGTTCTTATCTGATTTCCCTTCTTGCTCATTGTCCTGCGTCTTCTCCTTCACCAGATTCACTGGCGTTATTAAGGGAATCGAGATCTATTAAAAGATTACATATACGTTGGCTCAACTCTTTTTTTGTTTCCGGATAATCGATCGCCAGAATATTACATGCAGTGACTAGATCTCCCCAACCAAGATTAGTTTCTACAAATGCTACTTTCGATTTATACTCATCTGAATTGCCAGCGAATAGGAAATCTCTAAATTCACGCAACCGTTTTCTGTTGCCTCTATCACCTTCTTATTCAAAGATGAGTTTATGCAGAGCTTTAATCGCCTTTGCAGAGCAAGTTTTTGTTTTGAGATTACTTACCATAATTTTAATTTGTTCAAGCTTTTCCATCGTTGTATGATTAATATTTGAATTCCCACCTTTTACTGGATATATTGCCATTGTCGTATTCGTATCGTTTCCTTCGTTAACACAGGTTTAATGGCGCCTTTTAGAAAAACTTCCATCGTTGTCATATTCTCTGGAATTTTTACCAATGTCGTCTTTTCGTTTTTGCAGTAGTTTTCCTTATACTTTTTCATATTTCGGCTGAGTTCCAAAATTGTAGAAACGAATACATGATTTATTATGATAACAAGTTTTACTCAGTAAGTTACAATCTAGTCCGTATTTTTTGCGTTATCCTAAAAAAAGTTCTCTCCTTTCTATCTTCTCAATCTCCTTTTTTCTCCTGCCTTCCTCTATCGTCGATAAGACCGATTTCTATGAGACTTTCGGTCCCATATATATACATTTTATAATATAATTGATAATAATACAATACGATAATTATAATAAACAATAACTTTAAATATTAAGGAGTTTTTGCAATACCGTTTATCCAGATATGGTAAACGCTAAGGGTATCGATCAAATAACTTTTTCTCTAGAGCGAAAACGTGAAAAGTGAAAAATTTTTTTATGTATGTATGCATGTACATGTACACACATACATATAAAAAATTTTTACTTTTCACGTTTTCGCCGTAAGGAAAATGATACATAACTGATACCATTGTCACGTTACCTTCTTCTTAGCGACTATTTAAGAAAAGGATAATGTGACTTGACGTTCACTGTATCTGGATCTACATTATTGAAAAAACTCTATTATCTTTGCAACTCTATTATTGATGCGTCTTTTAAGTGCATTTTCCAGGTTTATTTCACTAAAAAATAATATAAACTGATGATCAAATATATGACGCGGTAAAGAAAAATTTTATATTAAATTCTATATTAAAATAATAAAATTGAAAATCTTAATCGGACTCTCTTAAAATAATACTAGAGATAAGACTACTTAAAATAATAACAATATAATTTAAGGCTAATAAGAGTCGACATAGGACGAAGTGCTTAATTTTAATGTGGAATGGTGACTTAACTCCAATAATTCCATGATGCCTTCTTTATTCACATATTGAATTCGCACGGAATGCAAGAGATCCGGGTTCGACTCCCAGCCGAGGCAATATTTTTCGCAATAAGTTTATTACAGTTTTTTAAGATTAATTTAGGAAATTTGGGGGGATTATTAAGATTGATTGCATTGAAAGCCGACAACCATATCGGCACGTAATTATCATTTCTGAAATTAATTCATTTATTTGAATATATATATATATATATATATTAGTTCTACATCTCAACACTCAAACCGTAGTGGTGCTTCGAATTTTAAAGTAATATTATAAAATATTAATATTAGTAAAATTACTAATTTTTAATTAATTAATATCTGAATTTTTCTAATTTTATTTAATATTTTGTTACTTTAAATGGTATTATAGAATCACCAGGTCAGAACACCGGTGTATTTAAAACTGAAAAACAATTATTTGAGGCTGAAAAACAATTATTTGAAGAAAAACAAAATTTATTTTGAAAGACAATTACAACAGAAAAAAATTAAAAGGCTTGAAACAGAAAAAAGGCTATCTACCATTAAATCATTTTTTAATGATGGTTAATTAAAATATCTGGTGAAAGCGTAAAAGGATCAGCATAGAGTATTTGTAGAATACTCTTAAATTGAGAAATATTTATGGAAATATAGACTATTTCACATTAAGGGATTCCCCTTTTTATGTGACGTACTCTTCAGAAAAAAAGTTATAAAATATTAAAATGCGGCCTGGTGTACCGAATTTCACAGATGCTTTAGAAGGAAAAGTAAGTATTTTCTATTTTTATTTTTTTATGTGCAAATATTTGACGTTGGATAAATTATGCATTATTACATTATAACAAATATATTACATTTTATACAATATATTATATATTAGTATTATTTCTTGTAGATTGTACATATGAATAAATATGAACGTGAGGCAGTATTAATGATCGACGAGATGGCACTCACGCCATCGCTCGCTTTTGATATATGTTCTGATATTATTATCGGACGACCAACCATACCAAACGCAACGACTGGACAAATGGACAAATTGGCCACTCATGCATTAGTGTTCATGTTAGATGGTTTATCAAGTCGTTGGAAACAAACTGTTGTTTATCACATTACATCCAATTCTTTCTGTCCTAACACAATAAAAGAATTTTTGTTCGATTTGATAAAATTGTGTGAATCCAGTCTCTGTATTAATGTTGTGATTATAGATAGTGATGGAAGGACAAAATCAAGCGCTACTCAGAAATTGTGGAATAATTTCTGGACAATATTTGTAAGTTGTCAATTACTGTTCTCAATCCCTGTGATAATGAACGGAAGCTCGTCTTTATGTATGTCATCTTATGATTCATCATATCTTAAAAATCTACGCAATTTTCTGAATAATGATTAAAATATAGAATTGTCTGAAGACATATTAATTCGCTCGAAGCGAGAAGCTCCCATGCAATTTTTTATCTATGAAGTATGTTGAGGAATTACTAAATATAGATGTGCAGGATATCGATTATATAAGGTTTCCTCTAGGAACGAATACACAAAAAATTCACGTGAATGTAATAAATGGATGATTAAGTAACTTTTGGTTGTTATAAAACGTGAATTCACGGGAAAATTTTCGGCAATTAACAAGGTGCCTAAAATGAGGTTATTTTTTTAGTAAATAGATGTAAACTAACTTGTTTCTCGAACTTTATGAAAATTTTAAATGGATATTGCGTGGTTTTTTTGCCATAAATGCTGCGAATGAAAAGGAAGAGCATGCAGTTGTCAGATGAAAGCCTTAATATGCTTCACATATTAAGAAAACATTTACGTGACGTTAGTGATCTTTTTAATCTGCCTGAAAGGGATAATGGAGGTTCCATTATTTATATAGATTAAGTTATTTAATTATTAATATTTGTTTTATGTTTAAAACATTTACATGTACATTTACATGTACATTTACATAGATTATCAAGAAAAATAACACGAGTCCTCTGTGAAAATCTGAAAGAATTTAGCCTTGAGTGCGATCAACTGCAATTCCTATGGAACTGAAAAAATGAATATTCTTATTTATATATTTCATTACATGGAATTAGTTTATTTGCAAGTATACAAAGTTTTAAAGTTAATAAAATTAATTAAATCTTAATTAATTAAATTTTAGGTTATATATGTGTGTGCATTGAATTTTATGACATTTGGATCTTATCAAAGACAGGTTGGACAAAATTTTTTACCTGCATGAACCAAACATCAGCTTTGCATTCTGTGGTGAATGCATTGAACAACCATATGCCGCAGTGGATTAAATTTGCTATCCAAAGAGAAGAAATAGAAAAAATAAAACGGCAGTATGTTAAAAAATGTAATTATTTATTTAATATTATATATAATATACAGTTACAGAAATGATTATCATGTTATTTGTGAACCTTTTAATTCAGTAATTTCAATTGTAAATATATTATAAGCGCTCTATTTTGGGTAGATTATGAGATAACGTTTTTTCTTAATTTTTATCATGTTTTCAATGATATTGATTTTAATAATTTTTGTTAGATTTTGGGACAATACCAAATTTCCTGGCTCATTGGTACAATAGATGGTACACATATAGTGTTTACAAATATATATATATATATATATATATATATATATATATATTTCTATTTATATTTCTATTTATGCATATGTATTTATTAATGAATCCTGTCCATATGGTACTCATGACTAGGATTTAGAATACATTCTTACTATCGGTCTATTTGGAAGAACGTTTCTTAAATGGTGAAACTAGTACATGGTTGGTATGAATATAATGTTATTTTTTTACACCATTTAAAGTTATTATCTAAGAAGCAACAATTTCATCTAAATATTTCTCCTTCATTCACATATAAAATTCTTAAATTATATTCTGTTTCATATTATATATTACACAATAAACTTACAGTTAATTTGTATACATATACATATAATATATTATTGAAAGTTATAGAATATGAAAAAAGCAGAATATACAGTAATAGTGTATATAGGTATAGTTTAAACAAAAAACAAATTTTAACAAAATAATTTATTATTCTAGGTGATTCAGCATATCCTATATTATATACGTACTTGTTGACACTGAAGTTAAATGAAGAATCTGGAGCATCTGTACGATACACACAGGCGCACGTGTCAATTCGAAATAGGATTGAAAGATGCATAGGAGAATTAAAAGGACAATGACGATGTCTGCGAAAAGAATGAGCACTACATTACCAATCAGAGTTTGCAGGTAGATATTTATTTTTGGAAAAATTCTAATTGATCACGTTACGATTTGAACACAATCACTCAAAAGTTACGGAAACATTGGCTGCGTTCAGCAGAGAAAGCAGTTTTGCAACTGTTGTAAAATTCTTTAATATGAATAAATGAAAGAATAAAGGGCTACGAGCCTAAAAATCAAACAACAAAATAACAATCTACATTAAACGGTTAAAAAATAAAATAAACAATGTCATGAAATTAAAAAAAACGTGAAATATAATTTAACAATAGTAAAGTAAACAGTAAGTGAACAAGAACAAACGTTTCGATCCCTGTTGGATCATTTTCAATGTGAAGACAAGATAAAAATGGATATGACGTAGATAAGATATATATAAATTAAATAAAATTCACATACGGACACAATATCAACTATAAAACTCGCTCCAAATTGAGAGAAAATCAAATAAACGATTGTAGTTGATACCAATGTGTTCCTCCGAACTATGCGTGTGCAAAAGGACGAACATGTTTCTGTTAGCAAGTACAAATTGTAATAATAAATTAACAAACGGAATAAATAAAAATAATAAGAAAAGTACAATCGAAAATAC